TGCAAATAAGGACAATTTTACTTCTTCTTTTCCAACTTGGATGCCTTTTATTTTCTCTTCTTATCTAATTGCAATGGCTAGTACTTCCAGTACTATCGATATGTCAAACAGGAGTGGTGAGAGTGAGCATCCCTGTCTTGTTCCTGCTCTTAGAGGGAACAGTTTTAGTTTTTGCCCATTGAGTATGATGTTTGCTGTGGGTTTATCATATATAGCTTTTACAGAGGTATGATCCTTCTATTCCCACCTTGTTGAGAGTTTTTATCAGGAAAGGGTGTTAGATTTTATCAAATGCCTTTTCTGTGTCAATTGATATGACTACATGATTTTTATCTCTCAATTTGTTTATGTGATGTATCACTTTTACTGATTTGTGGATATTGTACCATCCTTGCATTCTTGAAATAAATTCTACTTGGTCATGGTGTATGATCTTTCTGATGTTCTGCTGGAGCCGATTTGCTAAGATTTTGTTGAGGATTTTGGCATCTATGTTCATGAGGAATATTTGCCTGCAATTCTCTTTCATTGTGTTGTCTTTATCTGCTTTTGGTATTAGGGTGATGCTGGCTTCATAGAAGGAGTTTGGAAGTGTCCCTTCCTCTTGAATATTTTGGAATAGTCTGAGGAGGATAGGTTTTAGGTATTCCTTGAAAGTTTGGTAAAACTCTCCTGTGACGCCATCTGGCAATGGGCTTTTGTTTACTGGACGCTTTTTGATGACTGCTTCAATTTCTTCCCAAGTCACTGGTCTATTTTGATTTTTAGATTCTTTCTGATTGAGTTTTGGAAGGTTATATTTTTCTAGGAATATGTCATTTTCTTCCAGGTTGTCCAGTTTGTTGGAATAGAATTGTTCTTAGTATTCTGTAACAATCCTTTGTATTTCGGAGGGGTCTGTTGTTATTTCACCTCTTTCATTTCTGATTTTGTTTATTTGTGTACTCTGTTTCTTGGTGAGCCTGGCTAGAGGTTCATCAATCTTGTTTATCCTTTCAAAGAACCAGCTCTTGGTTTTGTTGATCTTTTGTATTGTTTCTTTGTTCTCTATATCTTTTATATCTGATCTGATTTTTATTATTACCTTCCTTCTGCTGACACTGGGCTTTTCTTGTTGTTCTTTTTGTAACTCTTTGAGTTGTAGAGTTAGATCATTTGTTACCATTTTTTCTAGTTTTTTGCAATAGGCTTGTAGGGAAATGAACTTCTCTCTCAGAAGTGCTTTTGCTGTGTCCCATAGATTTTGGATTGTTGTGTTTTCATTGTCATTTGTTGCCAGGATGTTTTTAATTTCTTCCTTGATTTCTCTGGTAACCCAGTCCTTGTTTAACAGCATGCTGTTTAGTCTCCATATATTTGATTTCTTAGGGTAATTTTTATTGTAGTTGCTTTCCAGTTTTATGCCACTATGATCTGAGAAGATGCTTGAAATGATTTTTATCTTCTTGAATTTGAAGGGACTTTTCCTATGTCCCAATATGTGGTTTATCTTTGAAAATAACCCATGTGCACTTGAGAAGAATGTATATTCTGTGGCTTTGGGGTGAAATGTTCCGAAGATGTCGATTAATTCCATATGGTCTAGTGAGTCATTTAGGATTAATGTTTCTTTGCTGATTTTTTAAATGATTTGTCCAAAGGTAGCAGTGGGGTATTAAAATCTCCTATTATGATTGTATTGCTATTAATCTCTCCCTTAATTTCCTCCAGCATTTTTTTGTTGTTTTGTTGTTGTTGTTGTTTTATGTATTTGTGTGCTCCTGTATTGGGTGCATATATGTTTACCAGGGTTATTTCTTCTTATTGGATTTCTCCCTTTAGTGTTATGAATTAGCCTTTGTTATCTCTTGTTATGTCCTTCACTTTGAGATCTAATTTGTCAGATGTAAGTATTGTTACCCTAGCTTTTTTTCATTTCTATTTGCCTGGAAAACCTTTTTCCATCCCTTTACTCTCAGTCTGTGTGCACATTTTTTTCTGAAGTGAGTTTCTTGTAGACAGCAGATATACGGGTCTTGTTTTCTTATCCAATCAATTACTCTCCATCTTTTTATTGGGGCATTTAATCCATTTACATTTAAAGTTATTATTGAAAGATACTTATTTGTCACCATTTTTATTCTATACCCCTGTGTTCCTCCTTCATTTCCTATTTCTTTTTTATTTTTATAGCAGACCCTTTAGCATTTCTTGCTGGGCCTAAGGACTTCTTAGCAAGCAGTCTAGGGCATCAAAGATGAGATGTTACTTGACATATTTTTAAAAAGTCCACATCATGAGCCCAGAAATGCCATTTGAATGGAAAAGCAGCTTGTGTAGGCCTGAAAATTGAGTGAAGTAGCACCTCAGGAAATCACCTGTTAAGAGCAGATTGATAGAGATTCAAATATGGCATTTGTCTGCCAACTCTGTGTGGGGAGGACTTAGGAAAGGAATAATGATTTCTGTCAGCACTTCTGAGAAAATGCTACCCCTCCAGCCCTTGATAGTCAATTCAGTTCCTCCCAATATATTCCTGGTGCTTTTTAAGTTGCTCTTATAGTGTTGGAGTTCAGAGTGAGTGAATCCAAGTAAGTCCGTGTGCAGGCCCTAACATTAGGAGGAACACTGGGACTCAAGCAGCTTCCTGTCTCACTCAGCCACAGTCCCCACTAGTCTTCACAGCCAGAATTTATGGGGACTTCTTTTCCCAGCATTGGGACCCTTCCCTCTTCAGGGAAGACCTCCACATATGAGATATCCCTCCTGATTTGTAACTCATACATGTGAGTGTGAGACCAGACCATTCCACATCTTAACCCCTCCTACTAATAAATATGAGGCCTCCTCTCTATATCCTTAGTTATAAGTAATTCTGTTCAGCTGAACTTCAGACAGTTTTGAATGATGGTTGTTTTATACTTTTGTGGTTGTGCGAGGAGGTGAGCACAGTGTTTACCTACACTGCCATCTTGAACAGAAACCCACTCTAAAGTTTTGGGGTTTTTTTAATGTGGATGTAATGGTGCATGGTTAAATGTTGCAAAATGTTTATACTGGCTTATACTGGCCAGTATACTGGCTTATACTGCTCTTAACAGGTGATTTCCTGAGGTGCTACTTCACTACTCAATTATTAAATACTAGTGGCCTGGTGCACAAAATTTGTGGTCGCTAAGCCCAGCCTGTACCCTAATAGGGACCCCTTGGGGGATGTTTGACTGCTAGTTTAGGCCCGATCCCATAGGCCATCCTTCTCACAATCTGGGACCACTGGGTCGTAACTGCTCACCTGCCTGCTGGCCTGATCACCCCTAACTGCCTCTGCCTGCCTGATCTCACTCCTAACTGTCCTACCCCGAAGGTCTGATATCACCCTCAACTGCCCTACCCTGCTGGCCTGATCTCACCCCCAAATTCCCTTCCCTGCTGGCCTGACCTTGCCCTCAACTGCCTTCCTATACTGGCCTGATTTTTCCCCAACCTGTCCTCCCCTGCTGGCCTGGTCACCCCCTACTGCCCTCCCCTGCCAGCCTGGTTTCCCCAAACTGCCCTCCCCTGCCAGCCTGATCTTGTCCCCAATTGCCCTCCCATGCCAGCCTGATCTCACCCCCAACTGCCCTCCCCTACTGGCCTGGTTCCCCTCAACTGCCTTCCCCTGCCAGCCTGATCTTGCCCCCAACTGCGCTCCTCTGCCAGCCAATTTGATTCTGATTGGTCAGTTTCTATGCCAGTCAGCATCAAAAGCTCCTCCTTCTAGGCAGCCATTGGCTCCTCACACTTCATCCAGATTAGGTTCTAATTGGTCAGTTTATATGCCAGTCAGTGTCAAAAGCTCTGCATCCTAAGCACATCACCTAGATTTGATTCTGATTGGTTAGTTTCTATGCCAGTCAGTGTCTCTGTGCCTATCAACAGGGCCTGATCCGAAAGGCAGGGCTGGTCAGCAGTCCTGGTAGAGGTCTGGAGAGAAATGGAGGCCCAGATGCTGGTCAGACTGGAAGAAAAAGAAATACACAAGTGCTGACCAACAGCTGCCACAGAGGCAATCGATCAGTCCCTGCTTCTCTCTTCAGGCCTCTCTCTTGCCCTGATTCACAGTCCCCTAAGTAGTCAGTGCTGGGGCACCACATCTTCAAAGGAAGCAGTCAGCACAACCCAGCACTGACTACTGGACTGACTTCTGGTTGGTCCAGCCTAGGTTGTTATTGGTCATTTCAACACAGGGTTTTTATACATTAGAATAATAATTTACTACTTTATTTTTATTTAATTAATTAATTTTCTATTCCTAGTTGGAACGATACCTAACTGGAACTATTCCTAATTGGATGTGTTTGACAACTCTGAACTTATATTTGACATCTGTGTAGGATCACTACTTCTCTAACTGATTAATAGAAAATCTCCTAATACTACTTCTGCTTCATCATCTAGTAAGGAAAAATTATGTGGTAACCACCATTAGTACAGTTAAGAAAGAGTATTTTACTTCAATTTTGTTGATTTTCTGTTAAAACATACATCTTATGGTTTTAAGAGGCTAGTAAAAATTTGCTTTTAGTCCATTTGACTTTATTGTCTACATTTTGAAATTTATAAGCTTCATAAAAATTGCAAAGTGGAAAAAAAATTAGTAAACAAATTTTATGGTGAATATTTCTGTTCTATTTGTTATAATGAACTGGGACACACATTAAATAAATCCAAAGAATACAGTAAGATGCATTTAAGATGTATTGGAAAACCTTAATTGATTGGTATTTTAAACAAAGGTAAATATTTGGCCTAGAAATGTCTTTCAGAATGTTTAAAATTTAGCCTGTTTTCGTAGCATTCTTTTGGTTTTCATAAATAATATAATTTAAGTATAGCATTTTTAAGTTTTAAAATATAGATGTTACCAATTATAAATATTGAAAATGTATAATAAAGTATTTAAATATATATTTATTCCTTTTTAATATAATAAAACTTTTTTGATATTGTATTCCATTTTCATTCACTAAAATTTAACTAACCTCTATAATCTTCAACTTTTGTAGTTCATTTTCCAGCATCGATTTCTCCTCTGATAACATTTGGAAATCATCTTGCATCTGTTTGTATTTCTAAAAATAAATATTATAATTTTAGTAACAATGTAAAGCAAAATATCAATATAGAGAACTTATTTGAGTACTTAATTATTAAAGCAAGAAAGTCTTCATTAAATCATGAAAATAATGAACCATTGTATTAATCTGTAATGGGAGTTGTAATTGAGGTAGAAACAGGCAAAGGAACTAGAAGTGACAATGAATTAAAGTTTAGAAAACTGAGGGATATTACAGTTAAGTATTCATAAGTGAAGTATTTCTGAGAGATAAGGTCTAGTAAAATAAAAAAGTAAAAAAAGCTTTCCAGCTCACATATGCATATAAATCTTTTGAATAAACTAATTAATCATTGGATCTTTAAAATGATATATTCTGACAATTTCTAGAATCCATTAACAACAAAGACAATTTCAAATTGAGATTGCCATACTTACAGTTTCTAACAAAGTTTTCTCATTCCTAGTTCTGAAAAAAATTAAAAATATATATATTATAATTTTATGTTTTATTTATGTGATATATATATTCTTTGTAAAATAATTTAAGTATAACAGATAAGATTAGAGTACACTTTGACTGCCATTTGAAAAATTCAATGCTCTCCCAGAGGGGTGAGGAACCTTTTTCTGCCAAGGACCATTTGGATATTTATAATATCATTCATGGGCCATACAAAATTATCAACTTAAAAATCAGCCTGCTATATTTTGTTAAACATGTAATTAATTCACCCCTAATGCCTTTCCAAGGCCAGACCACATGATTTTGTGAGCCTTATACAATTTGAGGGCCGGAATTTCACCCCTGCACTGGAGATAATATTAGATTGCTGTATACCTTTCCAGAACTTGTTCCATGAATTTGTAAATATTCCATGTACCTATTAGATTTTATAATTTTTGTTAATGGGTTGATTATCCCTTTTATTTTTTCATGTAAAAGACATCACTATATATTCTCAACTTATTGTTTTTCACTTAACACAATTTCTGGGATCTATTTATATTGCTAAACATATATCGATCTCATTTCTTTTAAATACCATTCTTTCTCTTTTTTTTTTGTACTTAACAAGATACATTATATTTCATCCTCATCCAAAGATATGTTTACTGATTTCAGAGAGAGAGGGAGGGAGACAGGGAGGGAGGGAGGGAGGGAGACAGGGAGGGCGGGAAGGAAAGAGAGAGAGAGAGAGAGAGAGAGAGAGAGAGAGAGAGAGAGAGAGAGAGAAACAACAGTGTGAGAGAGATACATCCATCGGTTGGCTCCCATATGCATCCCAACTAGGGATCAAACCTATAAACTAAGTATATGCCCTGACAAAATATATAAACTGCAACATTTTAGTATACAAGATGACACCCAAACCAACTGAAACACCTGGCCATGGCTCCAACAAGATACATTTCTTTAAATTTATCTTGATTGTTAAAGTAATATAGATATACCCTTCCCCCCCTCTAAACCCCCCATTAGCATCTCCCCACACCATGCCCCAGGCCTTCATTTTCATCTGTGTCCATGGGTTATGCTTATCCTATGTAATAAAAGCCTAATATGCAAATTTTCCTCTCGACCCAGAATTTAATTGGGAGTTCGACCAGCCCACCAACCACCTGTGGCCCCCCCACTGGCCAGCCATGACCCCAATCTTCTCCCCACTCCCCTAATCAAAAGTGGGGCTGGCTGGCCAACCTCCCACATTCTTTCTCCCTGGCCAGCCCAGCCCAATCGGCCCCAATTGGCCCCAATTGGGATGAGTCAGCCGGACCCCACCCATGCATGAATTTGTGTACTGGACCTCCAGCATACATATAAATTCTTTGGTTAATCTCTTCCCAACCACCCACCTCTACCTTCCCTCTGCAATTCATCAGTCTGATATTTGTATATATGCCTCTGGATCTATTTTGTTCATCAGGTTTTTTGTTTGTTTGTTTGTTTGTTTGTTTGTTTGTTTATTAGGCTACACATATGAGTGAGGTTATGTGATACTTGTCTTTCTCTGACTAGCTTATTTTGCTTAGCATAATCCTCTGCATATCCCTCCATGCTGTCTCAAAAGGTAAGAGATCCTTTCTTTTTTACTGCTGTATAGTATTTCATGGTATAAATGTACCACAGCTTTTTTATCCAACATCTGCTGATGGGCACTTGGGCTGTTTCCAGATCTTAGCTATTGTAAATTGCACATCTATGAATATACAGGTGCATATTAGTACATTCTTTCTGATTGATGTTTAGTGTTTTTTAGTTTATATTCCCAGAAGTGGGATCCCTGGGTCAAGTGGAAGTTCCATACTGTTTTTCATAGTGGCTGCACCAGTCTACATTCCCACTAGCAGTATACTAAGGTTCCCTTTTCTCCACATCCTCGTCAGCACTTGCCATTTGTTGATTTGTTGATGATAGCTATTCTGAAAGATGTGAGGTGATACTCCATTGTTGTTTTAATTTGCATTTCTGATAATTAGTAATTTTGAGCATTTTTTCATATGTCTTTGGCCTTCTGTATGTATAAGTGTCTATTTCGGTCCTTGCCTATATTTTAATTGAATTGTTTGTCTTCCTTTTGTTAAGTTGTATGAGTTCCTTCTATATTTTGTAAATTAACCCCTTATCTGATGTATCATTGACAAATATTTCTCCCAGATAGTAGCCTCCCTTTTCATTTTGTTGATGGTTTCCTTTGCTGTGCAGAATCTTTTTATTTTTATATAGTCTCATTTGTTTATTTTCTCCTTTGTTTCCCTTCTCTGAGGAGATATGTCAACAAACATATTAATGCAAGTGATGACACTGAAGCAGTAATTTAAAAAAAAAAAAAAAAAAAAAAAAAAAAACTCCCAGCAAACAAAAGCACTGGTTCAGATGGTTTCACAGGGAGATCTTTACCAAATTTTCAAAGAAGAACTGACACTTACCATGCTTAAACTATTCAAAAAAATCCAGAGAAAGGAACACTTCCATGCTCTTTTTAAGAGGCCAACATTATGCTAATTCCAAATCCAGATAAAGATACTACCAAAAAAAGAGACTTAAAGGCCAATATCTATGACGAATATAGACGCTAAAATCCTCAACAAAATTTTAGCAAATTGGATCCAGCAATATATTAAAAAGATCATACACCATGATCAAGTGAGATTTACTTCAGGGCTGCAAGGCTGGTACAATGTTCACAAGTCAATAGATGACATAAACAAATTGAAAGACAAAAATCACATGACTATATCAATAGACACAGAGAAAGTATTCAACAAAATCTAACACCCATTTAAAAAAAAAAAAAAAAAAAAAAAAAAAAAAAAACCTCTCAGCAAAGAGGATTAGTGGGGGTTATATCTCAACCTAATAAAGGCCAAATATGGCAAACCTACAGTCAAAGCATACACATGGGCAAAAACTAAAACCATTTCCCATAATAATAGGAACAAGACAGGGATTTCTGCTTTCACCACTCTTATTCAACATAATACTAAAAAGCTTAGCCACAGGGATCAAATAAGAAGAAATGAAAGTCATCCAAATTGGAAAGAAGGAGTAAAACTGTAATTATTTGGGAATAACATGATATTGTACATAGAAAACCCTAAAAACTCCACCAAACTACTACTAGATTGAATAAATGATTTTGTGTATGTAGAAGGACACAAAATTAACACCCATAACTCTGTGGCATTTTTATACACAAATAAATAATAGTATATTCTCAGATAGAGAATGAAGAAAAACAATCCCATTTATCATTGCAATAAAAGTATTAAGATACTTATGAATAAACTTAACCCAGGTAATAGAAATAAAAGACCTGTACTTGGAAAACTACAGGACACTGAAAAAAGAAATACCGGAAGATATAAACAATTGAAAGAATATGCCGTGTTCATGGATTGGTAGAATTAACATAATTAAAGTATCCATACTATCCAAATCAATCTATAGATTCAAGCAATACCTCATAAAATACCAATGGTATATTTCATCAATTTAGAACAAGTATTTTAAAAAGTTGTACAGAATCAAAAAATACCCCAAATAACCACAGCAATCTTGATAAATAAAAACAAATTTGAAGGGATTACAATACCAGATATAAAACTATACTACAAATCACTGTAATAAAAACATCCTGGTACTGGTACAAGAGCAGGCATATAGATCAATGGAACAGAACAGAGACTCCATAAATCAACCCAAACCATTATGCTCAATTAATATTTGAGGTAAGAGAATACAATGGAGTAAATACAGTCTCTTCAATAAACTATGTTGGTAAAATTGGACAGATATATACCAAAACTATAATTCTAGACCACCAATTTACACCCATACACAAGAATAAACTCAAAATAGATAAAAGATTTATATGTAAGTCATGAAACCATAAAAATTCTAGAAGAAAATATAGGCAACAAGATTCATTTTTCTTTCTTTTTATTAAATGTAACATTGGTTAATAAGATTATATAGTTTTAAAGTTTACATTACTATGATCTTCATATTGCATTATTTGCCCACCACCCAAAGTCAAATCATCTTCTGTCATCACCATATATTTCACATCCTTTATCCTTTACTACTCACAACCACCCCATTCCCTCTGATAACCACCATACAGTTGTCTGTGTCTATTAGTTTTTCTTTATTTTTCTTGTTTGTTCATTTGCTGCTCTAATATCCATATATGAGTATCTACCCCCAAAATTTGAAAACATTTATTCACAAAGACATATGCACCCCCATGTACACTGCAGCATTATTCAAGTGGCCAAGACATGGAAATAACCAAAGTGTCCTTCAATAAATGACTGGATAAAGATGTGGTACGGGTGATCATACAACATAATATACAGATGATGTATTATAGAATTACACTTGGAACCTATATAATATTATGAATCAATGTTGCCATAATACATTTAGTTAAAAAATAAATAGAGTGAATATCATGTTAAGCAAAATGTCAGACATGACATCTGGGACTAATGTGGGATAAATACCACGTCTTAAAAAATAAAATAAGTACTACTTCTTATTCCATAACAGGATTTGGCAAACTCTTTCTATAAAGAGCCAAATAGTAAGTATTATAGATTCTTCAGGCCATAACATCTCTGATACTACTACCCAACTCTGAAAAAGCAGCTATAGATAATAAATGAGTGGGTGTTACTATGTTCCAATAGAACTTCCTTTTCAAAAACAAGCTGCATGCTAAATTTTATTCACTGGCTAGTTTGCAGCTATCGCATCCATAAGATTGATAAACTATAGGTATTTTTCTTGACAAGTAAGTTGTTTATCCATTATAGTCAGAATTTTTAAAGCTTTATAAAAATAACATACCATTCAACTCATTCATTTTAAATGCACAATTAAACGGTTTTTAATATAGTCACAAAGTTGCTTAACTACTACCTCTATCTAATTTTTTAGGACATTTTAATTACACAAAAAGA